CCGACCATCATTGCCGCTCCGGCCAGGGCTGTCTTGCCCTGCTTTCCTAGTGCATCATACGTCATCCTATTAGGGGGTTGAACTCTCCTCTTCCCCCTTCCTTCCTCCTCAGTTGCAGGGACTTGAAGGCCTTGGTGTTGCTGCGGTGTGGCTCGAATCCGTGGAGCACTCATAGTACGGGAAGGGAGTGACGGTGCACACTCGCTCACTTGCTGCACCTCCTCCTCTTCTTCCTCTGCATCATTGGCCTCCTCTCCCCCATTCACAAGGGAGGATTGCCTCGTGGTTGTGCTGCCGCTGCTTAGCTCCAAAGGCAGCTCCACATGCTCCAAGCCGGAACTCTTCACTTCCCCAAACCGCACGCCTATCTTGGCCTCATTCTCCGCCTTCCAATCCTTGTATATGAAGTTCTCCATGAACTTGCAGTCCCTGCTCACCAAGAACTTCTTGGTGAATGGGTCCCAAAGAAGCCATCCCATGCTGTTTTGAGCCATGCCCAAGTGCACGGCCCACACCGCCTTGGCACCAAACATGTTGTGCCGAAGATGCTTAGGCACGAGCGCCATGCACATGCACCCGAACACCCGAAGCATATCCACCTTTGGCTTCCTTCCTAGCCACTCCACGTAGGGCACCTATTTGTCTGCTCCCACATGAGTCAAGGCTCTGTTCTTGGCCACACACGCGCTCCGCACCGCATCAGGCCAGAAATAGTCGGGTAGCCCGGCTTCAATGAGCAGCCCGCGTGCCGCCTCCGTGATTGTGCGGTTCGCTCGCTCGGCGATGCCGTTCATTGCAGGGGAGTATGGCATGGTGAGGGAGTGCCGAATACCATTCTTCTTCAGCCACAACCCAAACTCCTTGCTCAGGAACTCTCCCCCTCGATCGGTGCGGATTGACTTGACTAGACGGTCTTGTTGCCGCTCCACCATCGGGAACCAATCCGTCTTCAACGTTTCAGCCACGTCGCTCTTCTTGGCCAGCACATACACCCAAGTCATGCGGGTGTAGACGTCGACAATGGTGAGAGAATACTCAGCTCCAGCAGCTCCAAGCTTCAGGGGGCCCACCACGTCCATCACCACCTCATCAAGCGGTGCCTTAGCCGTCGCCTCCGAACTAGAGAATAGTGAGGTTGACTTCACGTGGTCGTCGACTTGGGAGGTCGACGGGCACATACGGGAGCAGCTGGTCGACGTGGTTGACCAGGTTTCCTGGGTGACGAGGTTCTGCGGAGGAGTGCGACGGTCACCCAGGCGGTGGTTGCACTGGCTGGAAGCCTGCCAAGGAAGTCGACAAGAAGAAGTCGACCAAGGACAGTGGTCGAAGAAGAGGAGGTCAACGTCGGGAGTGCTGGCTATGCAGCGACCCCGACCACCTCTCCATTGAGTGTCCTAACCGCAGTGAATCCGACGAGGATGATGCCAAGGGAGGCCGAGGAAGTTCTGGCAGCGGTCGTCCTTGTTGAGGAGGGCACAAGCTGCACAAGGAGACGAAGTCGACCGCGTCGACCTCAGCAAAGGACGCCGACTCCTCTACTGGCGGCAAGGCGCAGGACGACAAGACAGCGTCGTCTTGCTGGTCGGCATCATGGAGCCGACCATCTCGCTGGCGCTGGAGGCCGGAGAGGACTTCCACGCGGTGGCGGCATCTATGCAGACAAACCTAGCGGTGGTCCTGCTCGACAGCGGCAGCTCCCACCACCTGATGGGGACGAAGGAAGTCTATGTCGACTTGCCGCCGAGCGGCTCCATCAAGCACGTGCGCAGCTTCAACGGGGCGCTGCAGGACGTCTAGGGCCGCGGCACCATCGCCCTGCAAGGGAAGGCCGGAAAGCAAGGTGCTCATCCCCGACGTGCTGTACATCCCGGGTGTGCGGGCAAACCTGCTGTCGTCCGGCCAGCTGAAGGAGCACGGTGTGAAGCTGCAGGAGGACGGCGGCCGGATGGTGCTCGTCTCGGCAGCAGGAGAGGTGCTCTGTCAAGCGACGTACTCCGGGCGTCTCCTCTGCACTGACCTACGTCCCTGCTCAACGAGGTCGACGTCACCCACGGCGGAGGTTGTGGCCCTGCGGGCAATCATCTCTAAGACGAAGTCGACGCCGGACAGGATGCATGCGAGACTTGCACACGTCGGCATGGACACCATACGGAGCTCAGTGAAGAACGAGGTCGCCATTGGGCTGGACCTCAAGTCGACAACGGGGGTTGACTCACCGTGTGTCTTGTGCGTTGGCGGGAAGCTGGCGTGGCGCACCTTCCCCGACCATGGCTCCGACGCAGACGACGTGCTGGCCGTCGTGCACATCGACCTGTGCGGGCCGTTCCGCGTGGGTGCCAAGGACGGCAGCTTGTACTTCTTGCTGCTCAAGGACCGCAAGAACCGCTACATGTGGGTGAGGCCGGTCGCCAAGAAGTCGGATGTGCTGCTGGAGTTCCAAAAGTGGCTAGTGTTGGTGGAGAGGCAGGTGAAGAAGTCGGTGCTGATGCTGCGCTCAGACCGAGGAGGGGAGTTCCTCGGGAAGAAGTTCACCGACTTCGTGGATGGCAATGTTATCATCCACGACCTTACCTGCCCGTACACCCCACAGCAGAACGGCATGGCGGAGCGGGAGATGAGGACGGTGGTGGAGTCGGTGCAGATGATGCTGCTGCACATGGGCGTGCAGCACCAATGGTGGCACCTCCCTCTGCGGCAGGCCGTTTGGGTCTGCAACTACCTTGAGAGATTGATGCTGCCGTCAGGGACAACGCCGTACCAGCTGCTCACCAGGCAGAAGCCCGGCGTGTCGTTGGCATGGGTGTGGGGCTGCATGGCACAGTTCTTTGTCCCGGAGCAGCAGCGTAGTGGGAAGCTGCAGCCGAAGGCCAGGTGGGGCCTTCACCTCGGCGTATCAAAGGAGAGCAAGGGCTGGGAGCTCCTTGACATCGACGCCAACCGGGTGGTCATCACGTCGGACGTGGTGTTCTACGAAGATATGTCGCTGGAGGTGTGGAAGTCAGAGCACGGGCTAGTATCAGGTCGGACGCTGACCACCCCACCGACTGATACCTTGATAGCAACGCTGCCTCTGCTCGCCGAGGTCGATGAGCTTGCTGATGAGGACGTTGAGGTCGTCCGTCCTCCTTTACCTTCCCCTACGACCCCTGCCCCTCCCCTCGTGGCCGACCTGCGCGGCCGAACTCCTGTGTCGGCCTCTGGCGATGAGGGGAGTAGTGGGACATTGCCTTCGACGCCAGCCAAGGGCATCGCTGGTGGCCGACGTGACGAGTGGCAAGTCGACGATGGGGAAAAGCAGGTCAAGGAGGAGGAGCCGACTTGGGTGAAGCCGGCGAAGAAGGCACCAGCAAGGCAATAGCCGATAGGGGAGCAGGGAGCGGTGACGCCGACCACGAAGCAGTCAGCAACCAGGCAGTCGGTAGAGGAGTTGACCATAGGGGAGAGGTCAACCAAGAAGTCGACCGAGGTGCACCAGGACGACGAGGTCAGTGAAGTCGGTGACGTGGGAGGGTGACGAGAAGTGAGAATGGATGAATGAACTATGAAAGAGTTGGGTACAAGTAATAACCCTAATTGGGTTGTACCCCTTATGGGCTACCCCACTACAGCCTACACAAATGTTTAAGCTATAATGTTCTGACACACCCCCATAGGCAAAATGGGGGAGAACAAGTGGTCACAAGACCAGTCAAGCAAAGCAAGCTCAGGGTGGATCACAAAGTCACCACACAGTCCGAGCACAAGAGTAAGGCCACAAGGCCAGTTCATATGCAAGGTCATATGTATAAAGGTAAACAAGCAAGGGCAGGTATAGAAAGAATACAGTACAAACAAGATCAAGAAGTGAGCAAGTAAGGCCAGGTAGGCACAAGACCTAGCAAAGTACAGAAGCGCTGATGATCACAAGGCGGAAGGGCCTTGGTGAAGATATCAGCAGTGTTGGCCTCAGAGGCCATGTAGGTGAGGCGGAGCTGACCAAGCTGCTGCAACTCACGAGCCAGAAAGTAGCAGAGAGCAATGTGCTTCGTTCTGTGCTCCAGTCTGTGCTCCCGACACAAGGCCAGCATGGCCTTGTTGTCTACGTACAGAACTGGAGGAGAACGAGGCGGCTCTCCTAGGTCAGTCAGCAGGTAGGTGAGCCAGCATAGCTCCTGTGCAGCCATGGCCCCAGCGTAGATCTCAGCCTCACAGCTGGAGCTGAGAACAGAAGACGAGCAGGTAGACCGCCACGAAACAGAGCCAGAGCCAAGCCTGAAGGTGTAACCTTGTGACGACCCCAGCAGAGCCTGGTCGTCAGCCCAAGAAGCGTCAGCGTGACCTGTGAGGACTACTCGACGTCGCCCTCCAAGCACTAGCCCCATGCCCGACGTAGTGCACACGTAGTGCAACACCCTCTTCGCTTCAGCCATGTGCTCTGGTCTATGTCTCCCACGAGCAACATAGCGTGCTAAGATGATAAGAGGGTATGCAAGGTCAGGTCGTGTGCAAGTCATCAGGTACATGAGGCAGCCAACAAGCTCTGGGTACAAGCCACTCGACTCTACGGACTCATCCGAAGGCAGAGCTGAGAGCGAGTGGCGAGTAGACGGAGGAGTAGCCTAAGGCGAGGTGTACGTGAAGCCGAAGCGTTGAAGGACCTGCTGCACCATGTATGACTCAGTCAGCGTAATGGTGCGCTGTGCTCTGTCCCGGGTGATCTGCAAGCCAAGGTAGCTGCGCAGTTCACCCAGGTCTGTGCACACGTGTCTCTTCTGCAGCTCGGACTTCACGTGGGCGAGTCCAGCAGTGTCAATAGTGGCAAAGACCAAGTCGTCGACGTACACGAGGATGTAGAACGGCGGCAAAGAAGTGTCGGTGCGCAGAAACAGCGACGGGTCGGCTATAGAAGGAGCAAATCCAAAAGCCGCAAGAATAGTCCTCAGTGTGTCGTGCCACTCACGGGGCACCTCGCGGAGATCGTAGACTGGCCGCCGGAGGCTCCACTGGGTACCAGGAGGAAACTATCCAGTGAAGCCAGGTGGGCGGCGCAGCCAGATCTCCTCGTGCAGGCTGCCCTGCAAGAGAGATGTGCTCAAGTCAAGAGAGTGAAGCTCGTAGTCGCGCTGAGCGGCTATGTGCAGCAGCACCCGAAGAGTGGTCATCTTTGGGGTGGGAGAGAAGGTCTGAAAGAAGTCAACTCCTTGCTGCTGACTGAAGCCTTGAGCCACGTAACGCGCCTTGAAGACATGCGGAGAACCCGGCGGCCGCTTCACCCTGAAAGTCCAAATCCTACTGACGATGTTCGCCCTAGGTGGGGGAACCTTGTCGACGTAGGTGCCTGTGGACTTCCAAGAAGCCATTTCTGCGTCCATGGCCGGCTGACACTGAGAGGAGTAGGGACCCTCGATCGCCTCAGCGTACGATCGAGGAGTCGGGATGTCTGGTGCATCCAGGTCTCCCTCAGGGGCAATGCGCGGACACGAGATGGGGCAAAGCAGCAGCAAAGCACTGGAACTCCTCCTGCCTGTCCTCAAGGACGTCCGTGCTGAGAGCAGACTCACCCCCGACGGACGGAGGACAGACAGACTCAGATTCAGCAACAAGACTGGCAGCGTAGTCTAGACAACAGCGAGCAGCAAAGTCGACAAGCTCAGCAACTAGGGCAGATGCAGCAGTGGACTCAAAGGAAGGGTCAGTGACAACACTAGAAAGAAGGCGCGTGACCGAAGGACTAGCAGCACGAAGGGAGTCAGACTCTGGGTCAGCAAGAGAAGGAAGAGAGGAGAAGTGGAAGGACACAATGCCATCTGGTGTGTGCGAGGGACCGCAGGAGGACGCAGACGCGTAGCATGATGACTAGTGCGAGCAGCACGAACAGGCGACGCAGGACGAGACGCAGGCTCACGACGCTCAGCAAGACCTCCAGTAGGACCAATGTAGGGAGAAGGAGCACGTAGCAGAGAGGCAGGCTGTAACTATGACTGCGACTGGAGAGGCTGTGAACACTCTAAGGGAGGAGCAGGACCAGGAGAGGGCGGGAGACCAAGAACCTGCTCCACGAGCGGAACGAAGTACGGCCTCGGCTGCTCAGCGCCTCCAGAACCAGCAGGGACGGCACCTGTACCCCCAGCGGCAGCACCAGCGCCAGCAGCACCTCCAGCTCCAACAGCGCCAACTCCAGTGCCCTCAAAAGCACCAGCGACAGCAGCACCGCCACCGCCAACACCCCCAGCAGCTCCAGCTTCAGCAGCACCAACTCCAGTAGGACCGTCAGCACCAGCAGCCTCAGCAGCACCCCCAGACGTACCAGCACCAGTAGAAACACCAGTGCCAACACCCCCAGCAGCTCCACCTCCAGCAGCACCAGCACCGACAGCAACTCCAGCAGGACCAACTCTAGTAGCTCCAGCAGTGACCCCAGAATCAGCGGTACGTCTCCAGCGGCGGGCGAACCAATCGCGCAGCTCCTGTGGAGAGAGCGGCTCCTGCCTCCACGAAGCACCGCCGGTGGCCACACGAGTAGACCCAACACCCCCTGGCTCTGCACCCCCAGGCTTAGCACCTCCAGGCTCAGCACCCCCAGGCTCAGCACCCCCAGACTCAGCACCCCCAGGCTCAGTATCCCCAGTCTCAGCACCCCCAGACCTAGCACCCCCTGACCCGGCACCCGAAGGCTCAGCACCTCTAGCAGCACCAGAGTCAACAGCCAGCTCGACAGGCTCGACTGCGTCTACCTGGGACACACCTGCCGGGGCAGGACCCTGAGGAGGGAGGGGGTCTACTTGGGGAGGACCTAGCGCAAGGAAGAGCGGTGGCGGGGGGGGGGGGGGGCGCAGTGCGGTAGGGGAAGAGACGGTAGTAAGGCACCGACTCGTCAAAGGTGACGTCCTGGGAAGACAGAACACGACGCGAGGTGGGGTGGTAAAACTGCCACCCAGTCGCGTAAGGGGGGAAGCCAAGGAAGACGCAAGGAATAGCACGGGGGGACTTGTCCGAAGACAAGTCGCAGACAAACGCCCGAGATCCCCAGACCCGAAACGCAGACGCATCACCAATCTTCCCTGTCCACCGCAAGGCGGGGGAGGTCTCTGGCAAGGAGACTCAGGGCTAAAGGTTGAGCTGATGCGCGGCGTACTGAACCGCAAACGGCCACAGAAAATGGGGGGCAGCCGCATGCATCATGGACGTACGAGCGACGTCCATGACCATGCCAATGCGGCGCTCAGCAATCCCATTTTGCTGTGGAGAGGCCGGAAGCGTGAAGGTCTGGCGGATGCCCTGTGCACGACAGATGGCTCCCAGACAGGCAGAGGAAAACTCCCCGCCTCTGTCCGAGTGTAGACGTAGAACAGGAAAGTCCGAGCCGAAACTCTCTCTCTGAGCTAGAGACGAGCTGCGCGGATCCACTCAATCAACACCTCAGTGACGTCACCCTTGCTGCGCAAGGGGAAGACTGTGGTGTAACGCGAGTAGTCGTCAACGACCAGCAGAAAGTACCGCTCTCCCCCCTTCCCACTGACGCGGGCTCGGCCCCACACGTCCATGTGTAGCGTCTGCTGCGGAGCCTCTGTCGAAGGAAACTCGGAGGAGTGAGGGGCGGCTCGCTGTCGCCCCTCGACGCAGGGGACGCAGGTAGGGCCAGGCCCCGGAGAAGGGGAGGGAGAGACCGAGGAAGACCAGAGACAAGGAAACGGGAGGCCATGCCTTAGAGACGAGGCAGGGAGGGGTGACCAAGGCGGTGGTGGCAAAGGAGAGTCTGGTGGGACAGCAGACGACACGAGCAAGGAGTAGACTCAGGACCAGACGTGGACGCCGCAGCAAACACCTGACTCGACGCAGCTACCTGGGCAGACTCATCAGCAGGAGGAGACTCAGTAGTAAGGGTGTACAGGCTCGACCCTGGCCTGCGGGTGAACGTGGCCAAGTGTCGGCCTGTCCGAGCACAGTGCAGTGGGTCACCCGCTGACTCGCAGGAGTGAACTGGTCGACCCCCTTATACTGTAGGTCAGCTCCACTCACCAAGTTCGTAGAGAACGAGGGGAGGTAGAGACCAGACAGGGTGCCAGAGGGGGCTGCAGGGCACGGAAGGACAGTGGAGAAGCTGGCAAGGACAGGACCCCCAGAGGGGTCTGCAAGGGAGACTGCAACCGGCCGACTGAGCGGCGTAAGAGTGGTGCGGTCTCGAAAGAAGGAGCGGGACGCACCCGAGTTCTAGGTGAAGGTGTGGAAGGCGTGAGCCGACGCAGTACCTGAGAGAGCAGACTCACCAGCACCTGGGGCAGCAGACGCACTAGCACCTAGAGCAGCAGTCTCATTAGCACCCAGAGCAGTGGCCTCGATGCGCGGGTCAGGCGGTACACACAGGTAACAGGCACCCTCAACACTAGTATCAACAGCATACATGGCAGCAAGGGTAGCATCAAAGTCAAGATCAAAGATAGCAACCCCGGCCTTAGCCAGATCTCCGCAGCGAGGGATCTCTGAGGCCTCAGGGAACTGGCGACGCCACGCGTCCGTCAGGCGACCAAAGCAGCGCTGGGTGGAGTGCGGGCCTCCGCACTGCTCACCAGCGTGGTCACCGGTACGGAGGACGTAAGAGCAGGGACCAAAAACCCCACCGCGCTGGCGCGCAGTGTACCACTCACGAAGCTGCTGAGGGGACAGGGTCACACCACTCCGCAACTGCTGCTGTCGCTGACCACCACCGACGCTACTCCTCTGTGCAGAGTCGCGACTCTCTCCACCACCGCCGCCTCCTCCGCCGCCGCCACCTCCGCCGCCTCCGCAGCCTCCTCCACCTCCGCCTCCTCCGCCACCTCCGCCTCCTCCACTCCTTCCGCCACCTACACCGCCTCCGCCGCCTCCACTGCTGCCGGCGCCGCTGCCACCCCCCGCACCACTCCCACCACCACCCCCACTCCCTCCACTGCCTCCACCACCACCTCCACCGCCCCCTCCAGCCCCTCCAGTGCCCTTGCCCCCCTTGCCCTTGCCGGTGCGGCGTCTCCCGCTCGGGACAGACGCAGCGCCGACCGACTCAAAACCAACGAGGTCGACCGCAGCAGAAGAGGCAATAGAAAGCAAGAGGGGGGGGGGGGGGGGAGAACACCCCTCAAACACGGGGGTGCGAGGGTCACCACGAGAGGCTCCTACAGCGACTATGCTCTATCGCTAGGAGGGCCTTCTCGAGGAGGTCAACGGTGAGAGTGGTGGGGTAAACAGAGAGGAAGTGTTCCCTGACTACCCGAATAGAGTCACGGAGCCGGGTGACTATGTAGTAGAGGGTGATGTACATGGGGGGGGGGGGGGGGGGGGGGGTTCTTGGCGCAGAACTCAGCAAGAAGCGCAGCGCGGTAGCGAGTGTTACTAGTGCGGAGGTGCGTAATGAGGTCTACGACAGTGGGAAAGGGAGCAAGGTCAGGGAAGAGGTACGGTAGCATGAGGCGGCTCAGTGCAGCAGTGGCAGGGGAAGAGTAGCGTGCAACTACAGCGTTGTACAAGGTCTGAGCACTCTTGTACTGGCTAAAGTGTGCACGCTCAGTGGTCGGTAAGTGACGGCGCACAACAAGGTGAGCAGCAACATCACATGTGGCCCACTCTGAGCGAATAGTGGCGTCAGCATCAGCAGTAGGGGCAGGGGAGGCACCACAAGTGAGGTCAAATAGGGAGAGGCCGTCTGCCCTATCGCACTGCAGGAAAAGCTGCAGATCATCTACCCAGACCTCAAAGTTCACTGTCCGACCCTCAGCGTCAAAGGTGAGAACGCTAGGGGAGGCCATATTAGCAGTAGGCAGGCAGTGAGTACAGTGGGGCAGGGCAGTGCAGTGGCAGAGACTATGCTCTTACCTGGCAAGTGGGGCGATCGGGCTGCTCGGCTCGGCTGTCGAGCGGCTCAGCTGCACGGTGCTGGGCGACTCGGCTGTCGGGCGGCTCGGCTCCTGGGCGGCTTGGCTGCACGGTGCTGGGCGGCTCGGCTGTCGGGCGGCTCTGCTGCTGGGCGGCTCGACGGTCGGGCGGCTCGGTTGTTGGGCGGCTTGGCGGTCGGGTGGTAGTGCGGCTCAGCTGGCCGGCGGTTCGGCTTCTCAGCGCTGCGGGCGCTGGGCGGCGGGGCCGCAGGTGGCGGCGGGGCCTTAGGTGGCGGCGGGCCGCAAGGGTGGGCGGGGCCGCAGGTGCCGACGGGGCCGAAGTGGGCGACGGGGCCGCATGGGTGGGCGGGGCCGCAGGTGGTGATGGGGCCGAAGTGGGCGACGGGGCCGCAAGGGTGGGCGGGGCCGCAGGTGCCGACGGGGCCGAAGTGGGCGACGGGGCCGCAAGGGTGGGAGGGGCCGCAGGTGGCGACGGAGTCGCAGTGGTCAACGGGGCCGCAGGTGGCGACGGGGCCGTAAAGGGGCCGTTGAGGGGCCGTAAAAGGGCCAAAGCGGGGCCATCAAGGGGCCTGGGCAGGGCCGCGGAGGGGCCTAGGCGGGGCCGTAAAGGGCCCGTAAGGGGCCAGACGGGGCCGCGAAGGGGGGGGGCCTAGGCGGGGCCGCGAAGAGGCCGGAAGGGGCCGTAAGGGGCCCGACGGGGCCTAAGCGGGGCCGCGGAGGGGCCGTAAGGGGCCTAGGCGAGGCCGTAAGGGGCACGATGGGGCCGCGGAGGGGCCTAAGCGGGGCCGCGACGAGGCCGTAAGGGGCCTACGGGGCCGTAAGGGGCCTAAGCGGGGCCGCGACGGGGCCGTGAGGGGCCTAAGCGGGGCCGCGACGGGGTCGTAAGGGGCCTAAGCGGGGCCGCGACGGGGTCGTAAGGGGCCAGACAGGGCCGTAGAAGGCGGCGCGAGGGGCCGTAAGGGCGGCCAACGAGGGCCACTAAGGCGGCTCGAGGCGCTACTCGGATTAGGAGCGAAGCGCGCTCCGGGCAGGGAAGAAAAAAAAAGTTCGTGGTGAGCCCTAGGCAGTATTCCCACTTGGGAACCTGCTCGATACCATGACGAGAAGTGAGAATGGATGAATGAACAATGAAAGAGTTGGGTACAAGTACTAACCCTAATTGGGTTGTACCCCTTATGGGCTACCCCACTACAGCCTACACAAATGTATAAGCTATAATGTTCTGACAGAGGGGACGCCGGGGAGTCCACCAAGAGTGACGTGCTGGAGGTTTGGCCTGAACCCCGGAAGTCGGACAGACTTCAGAGGCCACCGGACTTCTTCGGCCCCGCTGCTTTCACTACGGTGTCAACATGGACAAAGAAGACATGGCGTATGACGATGCCGAGGAGGATGAGGAGTTTCCGTAGCTCGACCCCAACATGCATGCCGACCCTGAGCACCGTTGGGACATCGCGACGATGACAGTGAAGGAGGCGTTGGCAAGCTGGAAGGGCCAGGCGATGAAGGCTGCCATGGAGGAGGAGATCCGCAGCCTCATCAACATGGGAAATTGGGAGCTCGTGGAACGCCCGCCGGGAGTCAACATCATGAAAAACTGGTGGGTGTTGACAACAAAGTACCACATCGATGACACCGTCGAGCGCGAGAAGGCGAGGCTGGTCGTGAAGGGCTTCACGCAAGTGTACGGCGCCGACTACAACGAGACGTTCGCGCCGGTGGGCAGCTACGTCACGCTGAGGATCTTCCTCAGCATCGTCGCCGTCCTCAACCTCAACCTGATGCAGCTCGACATGAAGAACGCCTTCCTGCTGAGCAAGCTCGACAGGGTGCTGTACATGTCTCAGTCGGACTACTTCAATGACGGAACCGGCCGGGTGTGCAAGCTGCTGAAGAGCCTGTACGGGCTGAAGGAGTCGCCGCTGCTGTGGTACTTGGCGCTGAGATGTGCTGGTCGGCGCCACGTGGAAGAAGAGCCAGGTCGACGAGGCTCTGTACTTCAAGGTCGGCGACAACAGAGTAGCCTACTGGGTGCTGGTCTACGTCGATGACCTGCTCGCTGCCAGCAGCAGCACTGGGATGCTGAAGGAGCTGCTGGCGTCCGCCTTCGAGCTGCGGGAGATCTCGCCGGTGCGGAAGTACCTCGGGCTGGAGATCGTCCGCGATAGGTTGGCGGTGAAGCTGTGGCTGCACCAGCACGGCTACGCTGACAACCTGCGTAGTCGATTCATCGATGAGGAGCAGACCGGGCGCACCCCGAAGACGCTGGTTTCGGTCGACGTCTACGCTGAGCTCACCTTCGATGACGAGGAGGCACAAGAGTGACACGAGGAGGAGTACCAGTAGAAGGTCGGCTTGCTGCAGTTCGCGGCGACGACGACGAGGCCGGACATCGCATTCACGTGCTACAAGCTGGGGAGCGGCCTCACGGTGAGGAGCGACCAGCAGTGGCGCGAGGTCGACCGCTGCCTCACCTACCTCGCCAACACGCGTGACACCGCCCTGGAGTTCGGCGATGGACCTGAGTCGCTGGAGCTGATCGGCTACTTGGTCGCCGACGACGCCGGTGAGAAGCAGAACAGGCCAAGCATGGGCGGCTATGTGTTCATCTACGGAGGGGCCACAATCTCCTAGTCGAGCCAGCGCATCAAGTGCGTGACGTTGTCGTCGACCGAGTTGGAGTACGTGGCGGCCACCGGAGCCGGCATGGAGGGACGCCGACTGCGCTTCCTCCTTGGAGAGTTCCGGCAGCTGGATGCTGGGGAGTCGACCATTCTTCGGATGGACAACAAGTCGGCCATCACAGTCACCGAGGGCATGGGGTTGACGGGCAATCTCAAACACATGGAGCGGCGATAGGCCTGGCTGCAGCACATGGTGAGGCGCGGGAAGTTCTCGCTGAGGTACATCCCGAACACCGAGCAGCCGGCCAACTTCCTGACGAAGGCGCTACACTATCCGGCCTTCAACTTGTGCTCTGCCACCATCGGCCAGGTGCGCTTGGCCGACGTGGGTGACGAAGATGACGACGTGCAGCAGTGGGTGACATGCCCTCTTGCATGGCTGGTGCAGTGGATGACGTGCTGTGTGTTGGGTGCACGTCGACGAGCTAGTCTCTGAGGAGTACTGCCGTGTAGCCTGGGAGCCCAAGCGTGAACGCGGCAGGGGAGTGTCAACGGGGAGTTGTGTGTTGGCCCCTTCCACGCTTGGGCGGAGTCGTGTAAGTGGAGCAGCCGACTTGCAGTAGTGGGCCAGCTTGTTGACGAGGAGGTCGACCTGCATGGGGACCACTGCATGGGCGCCGACTTTAGGGTGGCGCCGACTTTAGGGAGGTCGACTTGGGAAGTCAACCTGCGGAAGGCGTCGTTTTGGTGACGCCAACTTGGGGCAACTGACTTGGGTGGTTGGCTGACAGGATTGCTGGTCGACCTGGTGGTTGGTCGACCAGGCCTGCTAGTCTACTTGGTGGTGGTCGATCAGGCGTAATGTCAACCTGGTGGTCGACAGAGGAGGGGCCGACATCGACCTTGACTCAAGACGCCGAGCAGTTGGGCGTTGAGTAGCAGGGTGTCAACTTGGTGACGCCAACTTCGGGTAGCCGACTTAGGTGGTCGGCTGACAACTGCACTGGTCGACATGGAGCTGGTCGACCAGGAGTGCTGGTCGATATGGAGCTCGTCGACCAGGGGCATGGTCGACCTAGTGAGGTCGACTTCAGGTGGTCGTCGACTTGGGAGGTCGACGGGCACATACGGGAGCAGCTGGTCGACGTGGTTGCCCGGTCGACTAGGTTACCTAGGTGACGAGGTTCTGCGGAGGAGTGCGTCGGTCGCCCAGGCAAAGTTGGCGAGTCCGACCTCGTTGGTGGTATCCTGAGGTCGACATGGCGGATCAGGTGGAGTCGTCAGCACAAGGACGAGTTGGTGTGTGCGTTGTGCAGGTGACGAGGCTCAGCCCACCAATCATCTGCGAGCACCTGCGAAGCGGGTGCACTGCTGTTCTGCGGGAGCAATGCTGGCATGCCGTCAACTGCGACATTTGCACGTTGTTGCACTGCTGGAACGCGGTCGACCATACTGCGCTGGCAGTCGACCGACCTGAATGCTAGCTCTGATGTAGTCTTGCCATGCCAACTTCATTGTACCATTGTTGTCAACTTTCTCTAGTGAAACTCTTGCCAATTCTCCCCATGAACTAGCAAGCAGTGTGTGCACTAAGAAAACGACGAAGGACTAACGAACGCAGAGATCACACGAGCACCCGTGCCTAGCCCGTAGTCTAGCTTCCGTTGTAGTAGTTATCTCCGCAATTATCACAGCCCAGATGATCATAGTCGAGATGATCACAGCCCAGATTATCACAGCCTAGATAATCACAGTCGAGATGATCACAGCCTAGATGATCACACCGGAGATGATTACTGGTCGCTCCAGTGCCGATTCATCCATACCCCCGCCTCCATCCATGTCTCGCCCGCGCACTGCTCTTCCAGGCCCATCCCACCTCTCCCCCTCCCTCTCTACCCCAACTGCCACCTCTCTACCCCAACTGCCCTCTCTCTACCCCAAACGGCCCCCTTTTGTTGCAATTGCAAGTTAGGGAGCCTTTAAGGTTGACTGGTGGGGTGAATGGCATTGAAGGGGGAAATGGCTATGGGAGAAAAGGGCATCTTGCGATTGCAAGTCAGGGCGCTTCGAATACACCTTAAAGGTGAGCCCTGGCCTTACCAACCCCCCATTGCAGGCACGTCACAGTGCCAACCTCTCACCTCAATGTGCCTCTCTTTCTCCTCTTGGCTCCGCTTCTCCCTCCCCCGCCTCTGCCTCATGCTGAGCCCTGGCGTTTCCACGTCCCTTGCAGTCACTTCATTAACCTGATTAGGGCAGGGACACTTGCCCCATACTCCCTCCCCTGTCCCTTTCCTGCTTCCCCCCTCTGTCCTCCCCATCTCCCAATCGCAAAGAGCAATGCAGGGCGCATGCTGGCAGGGCTGAAGGAGGTGGGGCAGGCAGTGCGTAGTGGGAGGGCCAAGTGTGTGGTGCTGTCGCCTAGCGTAGAGGAGATGCCTGAGGTAGGCAAGGAAAGGGGTGGTGGGAGGTGAGAGAGGGTATAAGGGCTGTCATGGTTGTTAATTGTGTGTGGCGTAGCTACCCAACCCAACATGGAGGAGTGCTTGAGACAGATGAGTATAAGGGAGAGACAGGGGCAGGTGAAGGGGGGGAGAGACAAGGGCAGGTGGGGGGGGAAGAGACGGGCTGGTGAGCTGGGGGAGAGGCAGGGGGGAGAGGACAGGTAGGGTAGCAACAAGGGGACGGCACCGTGCAGTGGGAGGTTGAAGTGTGGTGCTGGCGCCCAATGTGGAGGAGTTCTTGCGGCAGTTGAGGGGGGGGGGGGGGATGGGGAAGAGAAGGGGTGTGATTGTGGTGAGTAGTGCATGGGTGTGTGGTGCTGGCGCCAAATGTAGGGTGGAGTTTCCTGAGGCAGATGAATGTGGGGGAAAAGCAGGGGGTGGAATGGAG